GGCTGGGATGTAATCGATGCTGAGGGAGGAAGGTGCGTGGGATGTAATCGATGCTGAGGGAGGAAGGTGCGTGGGATGTAATCGATGCTGAGGGAGGAAGGTGCGTGGGATGTAATCGATGCTGAGGGAGAAGGTGCGTGGATGTAATCGATGCTGAGGGAGGAAGGTGCGTGGGATGTAATCGATGCTGAGGGAGGAAGGTGCGTGGATGTAATCGATGCTGAGGGAGGAAGGTGCGTGGGATGTAATCGATGCTGAGGGAGGAAGGTGCGTGGGATGTAATCGATGCTGAGGGAGGAAGGTGCGTGGGATGTAATCGATGCTGAGGGAGGAAGGTTGCGTGGGATGTAATCGATGCTGAGGGAGGAAGGTGCGTGGGATGTAATCGATGCTGAGGGAGGAAGGTGCGTGGGATGTAATCGATGCTGAGGGAGGAAGGTGCGTGGGATGTAATCGATGCTGAGGGAGGAAGGTGCGTGGGATGTAATCGATGCTGAGGGAGGAAGGTGCGTGGGATGTAATCGATGCTGAGGGAGGAAGGTGCGTGGGATGTAATCGATGCTGAGGGAGGAAGGTGCGTGGGATGTAATCGATGCTGAGGGAGGAAGGTGCGTGGGATGTAATCGATGCTGAGGGAGGAAGGTGCGTGGGATGTAATCGATGCTGAGGGAGGAAGGTGCGTGGGATGTAATCGATGCTGAGGGAGGAAGGTGCGTGGGATGTAATCGATGCTGAGGGAGGAAGGTGCGTGGGATGTAATCGATGCTGAGGGAGGAAGGTGCGTGGGATGTAATCGATGCTGAGGGAGGAAGGTGCGTGGGATGTAATCGATGCTGAGGGAGGAAGGTGCGTGGGATGTAATCGATGCTGAGGGAGGAAGGTGCGTGGGATGTAATCGATGCTGAGGGAGGAAGGTGCGTGGGATGTAATCGATGCTGAGGGAGGAAGGTGCGTGGGATGTAATCGATGCTGAGGGAGGAAGGTGCGTGGGATGTAATCGATGCTGAGGGAGGAAGGTGCGTGGGATGTAATCGATGCTGAGGGAGGAAGGTGCGTGGGATGTAATCGATGCTGAGGGAGGAAGGTGCGTGGGATGTAATCGATGCTGAGGGAGGAAGGTGCGTGGGATGTAATCGATGCTGAGGGAGGAAGGTGCGTGGGATGTAATCGATGCTGAGGGAGGAAGGTGCGTGGGATGTAATCGATGCTGAGGGAGGAAGGTGCGTGGGATGTAATCGATGCTGAGGGAGGAAGGTGCGTGGGATGTAATCGATGCTGAGGGAGGAAGGTGCGTGGGATGTAATCGATGCTGAGGGAGGAAGGTGCGTGGGATGTAATCGATGCTGAGGGAGGAAGGTGCGTGGGATGTAATCGATGCTGAGGGAGGAAGGTGCGTGGGATGTAATCGATGCTGAGGGAGGAAGGTGCGTGGGATGTAATCGATGCTGAGGGAGGAAGGTGCGTGGGATGTAATCGATGCTGAGGGAGGAAGGTGCGTGGGATGTAATCGATGCTGAGGGAGGAAGGTGCGTGGGATGTAATCGATGCTGAGGGAGGAAGGTGCGTGGGATGTAATCGATGCTGAGGGAGGAAGGTGCGTGGGATGTAATCGATGCTGAGGGAGGAAGGTGCGTGGGATGTAATCGATGCTGAGGGAGGAAGGTGCGTGGGATGTAATCGATGCTGAGGGAGGAAGGTGCGTGGGATGTAATCGATGCTGAGGGAGGAAGGTGCGTGGGATGTAATCGATGCTGAGGGAGGAAGGTGCGTGGGATGTAATCGATGCTGAGGGAGGAAGGTGCGTGGGATGTAATCGATGCTGAGGGAGGAAGGTGCGTGGGATGTAATCGATGCTGAGGGAGGAAGGTGCGTGGGATGTAATCGATGCTGAGGGAGGAAGGTGCGTGGGATGTAATCGATGCTGAGGGAGGAAGGTGCGTGGGATGTAATCGATGCTGAGGGAGGAAGGTGCGTGGGATGTAATCGATGCTGAGGGAGGAAGGTGCGTGGGATGTAATCGATGCTGAGGGAGGAAGGTGCGTGGGATGTAATCGATGCTGAGGGAGGAAGGTGCGTGGGATGTAATCGATGCTGAGGGAGGAAGGTGCGTGGGATGTAATCGATGCTGAGGGAGGAAGGTGCGTGGGATGTAATCGATGCTGAGGGAGGAAGGTGCGTGGGATGTAATCGATGCTGAGGGAGGAAGGTGCGTGGGATGTAATCGATGCTGAGGGAGGAAGGTGCGTGGGATGTAATCGATGCTGAGGGAGGAAGGTGCGTGGGATGTAATCGATGCTGAGGGAGGAAGGTGCGTGGGATGTAATCGATGCTGAGGGAGGAAGGTGCGTGGGATGTAATCGATGCTGAGGGAGGAAGGTGCGTGGGATGTAATCGATGCTGAGGGAGGAAGGTGCGTGGGATGTAATCGATGCTGAGGGAGGAAGGTGCGTGGGATGTAATCGATGCTGAGGGAGGAAGGTGCGTGGGATGTAATCGATGCTGAGGGAGGAAGGTGCGTGGGATGTAATCGATGCTGAGGGAGGAAGGTGCGTGGGATGTAATCGATGCTGAGGGAGGAAGGTGCGTGGGATGTAATCGATGCTGAGGGAGGAAGGTGCGTGGGATGTAATCGATGCTGAGGGAGGAAGGTGCGTGGGATGTAATCGATGCTGAGGGAGGAAGGTGCGTGGGATGTAATCGATGCTGAGGGAGGAAGGTGCGTGGGATGTAATCGATGCTGAGGGAGGAAGGTGCGTGGGATGTAATCGATGCTGAGGGAGGAAGGTGCGTGGGATGTAATCGATGCTGAGGGAGGAAGGTGCGTGGGATGTAATCGATGCTGAGGGAGGAAGGTGCGTGGGATGTAATCGATGCTGAGGGAGGAAGGTGCGTGGGATGTAATCGATGCTGAGGGAGGAAGGTGCGTGGGATGTAATCGATGCTGAGGGAGGAAGGTGCGTGGGATGTAATCGATGCTGAGGGAGGAAGGTGCGTGGGATGTAATCGATGCTGAGGGAGGAAGGTGCGTGGGATGTAATCGATGCTGAGGGAGGAAGGTGCGTGGGATGTAATCGATGCTGAGGGAGGAAGGTGCGTGGGATGTAATCGATGCTGAGGGAGGAAGGTGCGTGGGATGTAATCGATGCTGAGGGAGGAAGGTGCGTGGGATGTAATCGATGCTGAGGGAGGAAGGTGCGTGGGATGTAATCGATGCTGAGGGAGGAAGGTGCGTGGGATGTAATCGATGCTGAGGGAGGAAGGTGCGTGGGATGTAATCGATGCTGAGGGAGGAAGGTGCGTGGGATGTAATCGATGCTGAGGGAGGAAGGTGCGTGGGATGTAATCGATGCTGAGGGAGGAAGGTGCGTGGGATGTAATCGATGCTGAGGGAGGAAGGTGCGTGGGATGTAATCGATGCTGAGGGAGGAAGGTGCGTGGGATGTAATCGATGCTGAGGGAGGAAGGTGCGTGGGATGTAATCGATGCTGAGGGAGGAAGGTGCGTGGGATGTAATCGATGCTGAGGGAGGAAGGTGCGTGGGATGTAATCGATGCTGAGGGAGGAAGGTGCGTGGGATGTAATCGATGCTGAGGGAGGAAGGTGCGTGGGATGTAATCGATGCTGAGGGAGGAAGGTGCGTGGGATGTAATCGATGCTGAGGGAGGAAGGTGCGTGGGATGTAATCGATGCTGAGGGAGGAAGGTGCGTGGGATGTAATCGATGCTGAGGGAGGAAGGTGCGTGGGATGTAATCGATGCTGAGGGAGGAAGGTGCGTGGGATGTAATCGATGCTGAGGGAGGAAGGTGCGTGGGATGTAATCGATGCTGAGGGAAGGAAGGTGCGTGGGATGTAATCGATGCTGAGGGAGGAAGGTGCGTGGGATGTAATCGATGCTGAGGGAGGAAGGTGCGTGGGATGTAATCGATGCTGAGGGAGGAAGGTGCGTGGGATGTAATCGATGCTGAGGGAGGAAGGTGCGTGGGATGTAATCGATGCTGAGGGAGGAAGGTGCGTGGGATGTAATCGATGCTGAGGGAGGAAGGTGCGTGGGATGTAATCGATGCTGAGGGAGGAAGGTGCGTGGGATGTAATCGATGCTGAGGGAGGAAGGTGCGTGGGATGTAATCGATGCTGAGGGAGGAAGGTGCGTGGGATGTAATCGATGCTGAGGGAGGAAGGTGCGTGGGATGTAATCGATGCTGAGGGAGGAAGGTGCGTGGGATGTAATCGATGCTGAGGGAGGAAGGTGCGTGGGATGTAATCGATGCTGAGGGAGGAAGGTGCGTGGGATGTAATCGATGCTGAGGGAGGAAGGTGCGTGGGATGTAATCGATGCTGAGGGAGGAAGGTGCGTGGGATGTAATCGATGCTGAGGGAGGAAGGTGCGTGGGATGTAATCGATGCTGAGGGAGGAAGGTGCGTGGGATGTAATCGATGCTGAGGGAGGAAGGTGCGTGGGATGTAATCGATGCTGAGGGAGGAAGGTGCGTGGGATGTAATCGATGCTGAGGGAGGAAGGTGCGTGGGATGTAATCGATGCTGAGGGAGGAAGGTGCGTGGGATGTAATCGATGCTGAGGGAGGAAGGTGCGTGGGATGTAATCGATGCTGAGGGAGGAAGGTGCGTGGGATGTAATCGATGCTGAGGGAGGAAGGTGCGTGGGATGTAATCGATGCTGAGGGAGGAAGGTGCGTGGGATGTAATCGATGCTGAGGGAGGAAGGTGCGTGGATGTAATCGATGCTGAGGAGGAAGGTGCGTGGGATGTAATCGATGCTGAGGGAGGAAGGTGCGTGGGATGTAATCGATGCTGAGGGAGGAAGGTGCGTGGGATGTAATCGATGCTGAGGGAGGAAGGTGCGTGGGATGTAATCGATGCTGAGGGAGGAGAAGCCTCAGCGGGTGGTGTCGCCATGTCACACCTCCAACTCGTCCCCTCTCTCTCATCGTTCGCCCCCTGATCTCGCTCCCCTCTCTCAAACTCGTCCTCTTCCTCCCAGGTGCTCACAGAGCAGCCCAACCATGCCAAGGCGCTGTACCGGAGAGCACTGGCTCGCATGCGCTCCGCTGCCTTCGACGAAGCAAGGGCCGACCTTCAACGGGTACGAATTTTGAGTTGACTCAAAAACTCACCTTGGGCTGCCTTTAAGTCGATTCTTGTCACAAGAGCGTTGCCTCACATGCATTCTCTGCCTCACAAGCAAGGGCCCACCTCCAACGGGTACGCTTGCTGCGGGGAGGGCTTAGAACGAGAACGCAGTGTTCTGTGAACTTGTCGTTGTCGCTGCTGAGCATTTCGTGTACCAAAATAACGTCTTCCTGCTGTAAGGCCTTGGGATTCTGAGATGTTCTTGGCATTTTGAAATGATCTTGGCATTCTATCAGGCGGAAAATGTCAAAGTTTTCTGACATCTTTCTGGTGGTCCCTGTTCTGTATTGGCTTTTATTTTTGCTTTTCTCGTCACAAGTGCCGTTTTCCGGTTTTTTCCGTACACCTCGTGCTGTATCTGCCATGTGCTGTGTGCTACAGATGGTGAAGGCAGACCCATCGACAAAGGCAGATGCTGCTGCTGCTCGTGCCAATTTTTAAGACGAAATTCCAATCTCATTCTCTTGTCTCTCTCCATACACCTCTTACTATATTTCCCATGTGCTGTGTGCTACAGATGCTGAAGGCAGACCCATCCACACAGGCAGATGCTACTGCTGCTCTTGCAAAGCTCAAGAAGATGGAAGAGGTGAGAGGCTCGGCAGAGGTGAGAGGCTCGGCAGAGGTGAGAGGCTCGGCAGAGGTGAGAGGCTTGGCAGAGGTAAGAGGCTCGGCAGAGGTGAGAGGCTCAGCAGAGGTTAGAGGTTCGGCAGAGGTGAGAGGCTTGGCAGAGGTGAGAAACATCTGAGGTTAGAGGCTTGACTGAAATGAGACGCTTGGAAAGCGACAGGCTCGGCAAGGGGTGAAAGCTCAGCAGAGTGAAGAGGCTCGTTGAGGCGAGAGTTTCGGCTTAGGTGAGAGGCTCGGAAGAGGTGAGAGACTCGACCATTAAGTGCGTTTAGACAGCCATGAAGCCCCCAGTCCTGTCTAACCCTGGTGCTCACATCACCGCCCTTCCATCCCCCTCCTCTTCCATCCCTCTGATCACTACCCCTTCCCGCCTCCCTCGTCCCTGCCCCTCCTCCCTTGGGCTTCAGGAGGCAGAGTCTCGGCAGGGAGCGCAGAGAGCTGGGCGGGTGGTTTGATTGCAAACCCGGCAGTCTGACAGCTTATGACCAACCCCCTCCCCACCCCCCTTCCCTTCGTCCCTGCCCCTCCTCCCTACACTATCAGGAAGCGGAGGGTCAGAGAGCTGGGCGGCTGGTTTGACCGAAAGCCGGGCAGTCTGACAGCTCACGACCCCTCCCCTGCTAGTGCTGCTGCTTCTATTGCTGGTGGTGCTACGAGTGCATCCCTCACAGCACCCTCCCCCCCACCTCCTTCCTGCTTGCCCCTCCCCCTTACACCTTCAGGAAGCGGAGGGTCGGCAGCGCAGAGAGCTGGGCGGCTGGTTTGACCGCAAGCCCGGCAGTCTGACAGCTCACGACCCCTCTCCTAATCCTGCCGGTGCTGCAAGCGGTGCTGGTGGTGCTGCTGCTTATGCTGCTGGTGCTGATGGTACTGCTGCTGGTGCTGCTGGTGGTGCTACGAGTGCTGGTGGGGGTGGTGGTGATCCACCGGCATTGTCGCAGGCAACAAGCAGAGCTGTGAGGCGGGCTGCAAGGAAGGCAGCAGCCGCTCTGTCTGGGGATACGGGTGCTTCTGCTGACGGTGACAGTAGCCAAAGTGACAATGAGGAGAGGCGTGATAATGGTGGTGGTGTTGAGGGGGATGGAATGGGAGGAGATGAGGAGGAATCGGAGCTCCTAGGGGCATTTACCCCCGTGAAAAGAACAGCGCTGCTTACGTATGGACCGGGATTGGTGCTGCTGATGCTGCTGCTTGCGTTTGGGTTGCTTTTGGTGAAGGACTTTGATTGGACGGCTCACATGCCAGTGGTGAAGCTTTATTCATCTGAGCTGTTGGATAGTCAAGTGGATGATTACATGGATGATGAGTTATAGATTGTGAATCATTCGTTTTTGCATGTAGTTCCATATTTTCCAAGCCTCCCGTGTATTTTTTGGATTTAATTGGATGTATGAGTGCAAGGAAACTCCATGCATGGTGGTGTGGACACTGGACAAGGATGCCAAGATACTTTTATGCTGCTATTTAGAGCAGTATATAGACTTGTAGTTGGTGTAGCTTTTGATGCACAGCTGAAGTGTACAAGTCGTTACTTCACTTCCAGTTGTGGACGTTTGTGCTGGTTCGTGGTGTGCAAGTGGGGTGGTAGTTTCTCGCTGGTGCCGCCACGCAAGCACCATCCCTGCAAATGATTGTGCACCGCCGATTTTTTACAATTCAGGTCTCTGTACAGTTCAACTGCTTCACCTGAGGAGATCCCTGACAGGGAGCCTTAGCTAGTCCCGCAGGCCCGCAACTGTTTTGCGTAACGCATGCGAAATCATAAATGCCCCTTATCTGGGCAGGGCCGAACATGCTTGGCTGGTCTACAGTGCTTCACGAAGGATCCGCGCTGCTGCATTGCAGTCGGGGATCTTGTTACCCTCTGCGAGAATCCAGGGAAGAAAAATCAACTTCGCCCTTGCTGCCCGAAAGTTAAAGCCGCGGTGCAGATATCCGGGCTCCAGTTCAAATTATTATAGTTTGAAAGCCGCGTAACCCAGTATACACAGGAAAGCGAGCAGGGAGAGGTTTCTGCCAGCGGGGGAAGGGCGTGCGGAAAAGTCCTTCGCAGTATGATGTGTGTGGGGGGGAAACGGGGGAGGGCTCGGGGAAAAGCTCCGCTCAACGAGTTGAGGGGGAGCGCATGCAGCAAACTTGAAAATTCAAACTTGAACTCAAAGCAACTCAAACTCGGCAAACTCTCACGCTTGAACTAGGTTCTTACTAACTTGAAGTGCGTTTTCCGAGCTACGCAGAGCCATTTCCGCTAAGATTTCTCGCGTTTCATGGTCTATTGATGTGCTCACTGCGCAATTTCCTACCTCGTAAACACCTTTTTGTCGTATTCGAAGCGCATTGCGCTCGTTTTCCTCCGTTGCCGTCCTTATTCCTCTCCCGCCCCTCCATTCCTCACGTATCTGCGGTAGCAAAGGCGCAACGGTAGCGACAGGCAGGAATGGGTGCGACGGTGGCGAGCAGCGGGGCGACGATAGCGAGCGGTGCGGCGACGATAGCGAGCAGCGGGGCGACGATATGAGCAGCGGGGTGACGATAGCGAGCAGCAGGGCGACGATAGCGAGCACCAGGGCGACGATAGCGAGCTCCAGGGCGACGATAGCGAGCATCAAGGCGACGATAGCGACAACCAGGGCGACGATAGCGAGCTCCAGGGCGACGATAGCAAGCACCAGGGCGACGATAGCGAGCAGCGGGGCGAAGCATCTGTGCGACGGTGGCGAAGCATCTCGCGTCCCCCTCCATATTTATTCCTCTCCAATGCCTCCCCCTTTCCGATCCCTTGCCCGGTCCTCAGCATCAACTTCTCTTGGGCAGTGCCCTCCCTGTTTTCCTCTCCCTTTCCCCCTGTCCTCCTCTCCCTTTCCCCCTGTCCTCCTCTCCCTTTCCCCCTGTCCTCCTCTCCCTTTCCCCCTGTCCTCCTCTCCCTTTCCCCCTGTCCTCCTCTCCCTTTCCCCCTGTCCTCCTCTCCCTTTCCCCCTGTCCTCCTCTCCCTTTCCCCCTGTCCTCCTCTCCCTTTCCCCCTGTCCTCCTCTCCATTTCCCCCTGTCCTCCTCTCCCTTTCCCCCTGTCCTCCTCTCCCTTTCCCCCTGTCCTCCTCTCCCTTTCCCCCTGTCCTCCTCTCCCTTTCCCCCTGTCCTTCTCTCCCTTTCCCCCTGTCCTCTCCATTTCCCCCTGTCCTCCTCTCCATTTCCCCCTATCCTTCTCTCCCTTTCCCCCTGTCCTCCTCTCCCTTTCCCCCTGTCCTTCTCTCCCTTTCCCCCTGTCCTCCTCTCCCTTTCCCCCTGTCCTTCTCTCCCTTTCCCCCTGTCCTCCTCTCCATTTCCCCCTGTCCTCCTCTCCCTTTCCCCCTGTCCTCTCCCTTTCCCCCTGTCCTCCTCTCCATTTCCCTCTGTCCTCCTCTCCCTTTCCCCCTGTCCTCCTCTCCCTTTCCCCCTGTCCTCCTCTCCCTTTCCCCCTGTCCTCCTCTCCCTTTCCCCCTGTCCTCCTCTCCCTTTCCCCCTGTCCTCCTCTCCATTTCCCCCTGTCCTCCTCTCCATTTCCCCCTGTCATCCTCTCCCTTTCCCCCTGTCCTCCTCTCCCTTTCCCCCAGTCCTCCTCTCCATTTCCCCCTGTCCTTCTCTCCCTTTCCCCCTGTCCTTCTCTCCCTTTCCCCCTGTCCTTCCCTCCCACCTTTCCTCCCCCTCTCTCACATCCCTTCCCTTTCCTACTGTCCTCTCCCACCATTCACGCTTCTCTCAGCCATCCCTTTCCCCCCTCCCCTGCCCCTCGCCTTCCCCCACTACCGTCCCTTCCCTTTCCACTACGTTCTCTCGTTCAATTCAGCCAACAGTACCAGCTTTGCTTGGCCACTGAAGGCTGTCTATCATATCTCCGTTTCCATGCTCTCTTCAATTTCCCTACCTAACATTCTTCAATAATGCGCAACGTTTCCTTCCCCTTTTCCCCTCCCCCCTCCTCCCTGTAAATGGACAACTGCACCAATAGTGGATCGGAGTGTAAAAATCGGCTCTCCTTGGATTATGCCATGTTGTTTGCTTGCGATCCTTTGCATGATAAGGATTTCAATATGACATTCCAAGTCTTGCAGGTCTGTACAGTTGATGTTCTTTCTCCCCATTAGAAATAATACTCTTGCAAATGGATGGATAAATAAACCAAAATAAACCTTGTAAGTGAAATATGTATTTTGCAAAGTTTTTATGAAACATAAGGTTTATCGTTTTGCAATGTGGAGGTGTTATTGGCAGAACAATCAGCGAAAGGGAGTATGGGGGTGTTGATGTGGTCCCATTTCCCGTTTCGTGTGTGTTCCCCCCTTCCCTTCCCCCCACCCCTTCCCCCCCACTTTTCCTTTCGAGGTTCGCGACATTCGCCTTGGATGTTTTCATCGCAACACAACTTACACACTCGCTAGCCAATTGACTACCAGTACGGAACAAGACAAAACCCGGCTTGTCACTGTTCCTAAGATAGTTGCACCGCGGCTTTAACGCAGAACCAGCGTGCGCCACATCAACACGGCCTTTATCGAAGCAACTATTCAGCCTCTGTTTGACTGCATCCCGTGCCACGTAATGCTGCTGTCCTAGGGAACACGCCATCGTGTCCGCAGATCTAGGTTTCAAGAACAGAACACACCCGCCAATGGGCTACTTTTCCAAGGCCCTAGGCATCTGGTTGCCCGCATGAATTCTTTGCGCTCCACAGTTCTCGGCATGGTCCTGACTCTTGCCTCTCTCCACCATAGCCATTTCCGAACGTCCAAGTACTTTGGCCGAGTAGCAGCAGCTCCACATACTGTCCGGCACCTGCCTCCCTTGCCATTCAGATTTTGAAACTTTTATTTGATCAGGCCTGTGTGCAGGTCCACCCAGAAGGTTCTGGTTCTACTCATAAAGCACCCTGCTGGGACGGAATAGTGCTCAGAATGACGAGGCAATGTGAGTTAAAATATGCAGCATTGAACAGATATAATTCACTGTTTCCAGCTCTGCCACTCCCAGGCCCAACTCAGCCACAGTGTTATAGAATACAAGTTATGTAACTCACGAATGTTTTCCTGCCCGATATCCTCTGCCAACACAAGGTTGACATCAAGTTCGATGTCAAGATCGACGTCCATTGGAGGAAGGCGGGTTCTTCCGCTTCAAGAATCGGGGCATCCGTGAGAGCACTGCAGTGTTCGCCATGCCCTGCCCGAACTGAAACCAAACCAGGGAGACAGGTCTCCGCGCAAACGAGAGCCGAAACCCAGGGCTTGGCCAAGGGTTTGCCGCTTTGTCGTTTCCAGCACTACTGGGATCCAGCGCTCTCCCCGCGATAAGTTTCTCTGGAGAAACCCCTGAAATTTCTCCAGCTCCGACGAACCGCGTTTTTGTTAGCTCAACCTGGGGGTGGGGAAATCCTCCAAAGGAGGCGCATCTGCGACTGGCGGAAGGCGGAAGTGGGGCTGGTTGCCCGTCGGCGACGGGGGCTACTTGCCTGTGCGGACCAACCAGATCCAGCGAACCAAATTCCCAGGGCAGCCAGTTTTGACCACAGTAGCCCCTTGCCCCGCCCCGCCAGCCATGCATTTCCGCTCCCTCACCCTCCCTCTTCCTCTCTTGCCCTGCCCCCCTCCCACCAATCCCAGCTTCCACCTCCTTCTCTCCCTGCCTTCCAGACATTTTTTCTAAGCCAGTGCAAGGCTGCAAGCCCTTGTTCGGTCTGCCCTGCCTTGCCATTCACCTCAGTCCACGCACTACCTGACCCCACTTCACTCATCGACCGCATCTCGATTCCCGCGATTGTCGACCTCCTCCCTTCCCCTGTCCACTCCTGGCTACATGGTGGAGTGGCGGTGTTGCGACCAGCTAATCTCGCAACCTTCTATCGGAACGACTTGGATCCGCCATTGAAGCACAGCAAAGATTGCTGCCATCTAGCCACTCTGCATCCACAGCCCAGCCATTTTCTTTCGAACACTGTCAACGCTGAGGTGCGCCTGCTACCGAGTCGGTGTCGCAGCGGCATTCTGTCAGTTGGCATTCCGTCATTTCGAATCACATGGCGCTCGATTGGGCCAAAGCGTTGCGCCAGGCGGCCAAGATCCGCTCGTCCGCGCACCACCAATGGAGCCCCGACTGCGCGGCGGCGGAAAGCAGCGGGCTTTCCGCCAGTGGCGGGCTTTCCGCCAACTCTCTCCCCGCGTGCCCCGCGCCGTGGGCGCTCTCCCCCGCCACCCCCTCGTCGTCCACGTCGGAGGGAGACAGCGCCGTAACGGTTACCAACGGATGCAAGCCTTTCGCTGCGGCGAAAAAGCTCTCCGTCTCGCTTTCCGCGCAGCCATCCGCGCAGCTCTCCGCGCAGGCCCCCTCCCCCGCCCGCCGCGCAAGCTCACGCCGCGGCAGACATGCAGCACCGATGCAAGTTCCGCCACTAGCCAGTCCTTCGACAGGTAGTTGCTCCTATCGCGGGCGTGGGGCGGCGGCGGCGGAAGCCGCGAGTCCGCGGAGCGCTTCGTGGGTGGGCGCGGCGGTCGAGATCCCGCAGGGAGCCAGCGGAGCGCCGCCGTCCTTCACGGCGGTGTCGCCCTTGCTTCTTCCGCCGAATGCCGCGAATGGCGCAGCGGATGTCCCCGCCGTTCACCTCTCCTCTTCGCGCAAAGCAGCTCTCGCTCGGCGCGCAAAAATACCCGCTTCCCCCCCTGCAGCTGCTGCCGCCGCGTCGCCATCCGCGGCGGAGGTGGAGATGGCGCTCAATGATTGGTTGACGAATGTTCTTGCGCCGGCTCTTGCGGCTGGTGGGGCGGCAAGCGGCAATGCGGCTGCGGCTCGGGCATCAATCAATAAACCGTTAACTGATATGTCTGCCGGTTTCCAACTTGGATCTTCCGCATCCGCCTCCATTGCGCCTCCCCCGCCTTTTTCCGCGTCCCCGGCCAATAGGATCGCGGAGCAGCTGGTCGGGCAATGGCGGAAGGCGCAACAGCTTCCCCGCGTGCCCGCATCCACGCCACCTGCGCCGGCGGCGGTGCAGGCGCCGGCGGAAGCGCCCGCGCCGTTCCTGGCCCGACCGTCCTTCCCCCGAACGTCCTGCTCCGCCTCAGCCCCGTCCCCGTTCGGCGGACCGCAGTGCAGCCCGGTCGCGCCGCCTCCGCCAGTCACACAGGCTGGCAATGCGCCCGCGCATGTGCCGGCGCATGCGCCAGTCCACGCGCCCGCGCAGCCCTTGTCTCCGCCTGAGGCGCATTCCGCGCGCGGAGGCAACGACTCGCCGGAAGATGCCTTCTGTCCGCTCGCCTTCCTGGCAGGCGACCTTGACGAGTGCGATCCAGTGAAACCTCAGGTGATTCTGCAAGACGTGGCGGATGCGAAGGGAAAGCTGTCTGGAGATGGGGGGATGGAGGGCTGCGCGGGTTTGTTTCTCTCCGCCACCCATGACGTGCGGGGCGCGGCGCAGACCGGAGGGGGGAAATGCGCGGAAGAGGGGGAGTCCCTGGAGGAGCTAGCCGCACAGGATATTGACTGGCAGTCCCTGCTTGCACCCTGGGAGCCGGCTTCAGGTGGTTCTTCAGGTGCTCCGGATTCGGAAGTCGCAGACCCAGTTGAAAACGGCAGTGGAGTTGCAGCGGTGGAAAATAACGGGCCCAATGATTGCCCTAGTGCGAACAGTCAAGTGGTTGCTACAGGATATGGTGACCTGGCGCCCATGTGGCATGCTGACGTGGCGGATCTGTGCATGGGAGTGCCAGCATGGATTTCGCATGAGGATATGGACGGTCTGCACCAGTGGGACTCCCACAGCTATGAGGAGCATCTGCACTTGGCTAAGCGCCAACGCTTAGTCTAAGACACGCTTGATCTTTAAACGCTTAGTCTCAGTTTGAGGACAGTCACTTCCTCCCTGAACATTCTGTGCTGTGGTGGGCTGGCAGCACAATACAAGTATATTATATAGTGCGTACGCATCCAAGCGGCGAGCTAGTACAGTACATACGGAGGTGATTTGCCCTGTTTGTTACCAATAAGGTGTGAGCGGCAGTGGCCGTGCTTCAGAGAAGGCCCTGCTTGTCAGGGATGTGGGTTCGTTCCTGTATTGTATGTCTTGCTTGCGCGCCTTACTTTCTGTGATAAAATATCACCTTGTGTCGCACTTTTGGACCTCTACATCATCAGATTATTTCTGTAACTCTCGTCTGTGAAATGCTACGCTGGGGATTCAGTTTTGGCACAGATTTCTCTGTTGTAAGCGGGACCCTGACCAGAAGAAGATAAAAAAATCTGTGTCACTTACAAACTTCACCATTCTCAGTACCGCGTACAGCACTGTGCACTGTTCTCTGGGGTATTGCCTGCACTTCACCCTTGGCACCATCGTGTATCGCTTGTGACCCGAACCTACGGGTGGGGTAAGGTAACCACGTTCGCCCGATACCGATGGTCATTCGCGAATCAATCTCACTCATAATCTCTCCCACCTCTTTTGCCTGGTGAGGTACACAAACAAGCTATAATGGACAACACAGCGACGAACGCCTGGTTTATACCTCTGAGGTGAGCTGAGGGCGTGTAAAGTCGGAAGCTAAAAAAAATCGGCCACAGTCCGTCAGGCCGTTTCTGCGAAGGTAACCAGTCAGCGACAGTCGTAAGTCGAGTAGCGACATTCGCGAATTTCGCAAAAGAAAACGATTTTGATGGCCGCTTAAAAAGTTGACACGAAAACGACGCTGAGTCGACTCCAAAAAGGCCAAGTAGTCGACACAGAGTGCGACAATCGCCTACGACGTCGCACGGTATCGCCGAACGACATTTTTTTTTATATCGTCAAATGAGAAACATCGCCGTGAAGTGTGCGACCCCGTCGCACAGACCCAACTACTGTAGTAACTCCAAATTTTACCACTTTTCCGAACCGGCCTGCAAATCGGCCACCAAAGTTGTAAAATCCGCAAATGTGCAAATGGTGGCTGAAAATTGGACGACTCGACGAAAGTCGACTTGGTGGCCGAATTCGACCACGGTCGACGAAATTCGGCCAAACCCCGATTTCGCACTTGCACGGGGATTTTACACGCCCTAATGTAATGAGCATCTATGCAAGCATCAACAGCAAGCATGGCAAAGCATCTCGTCCTAGTAAGCAGAGTCATACTTGCGTGACAGGAAATCCTCAACATGCATCACTTCATATTTACATATTCACCTCGCAGATCTATATTGCTTCATCTGTTCGTTTGTTAATACCGAGCTTCAAAAGGATAAACGCCGCAAAACAGGAATATCAACAAATATTTGATGTATCTGGATAAAAAATGTATAAATATTGTAACACTGACAGGAAACTTCACACAAGACAGCTGAATTCACCAAGCTGTGCTCTCTGTTAGGAAACACCGTCATTGAGGCGAGCCAAGCCAAATGCAGTATCTGGACTACTTATAATCCCCTTGTAGTCTCCCAACCACTTATTACGGCCGCAGGCGGCCACTCACGGCAGGCACTGCTGCTCGTTTGGCCGATACCGACGTTCTTGCTCCACTTCTCGTACAGGTAACCCTAACACACCCATCGTTACAAGTAAGACCACGCCGAGAGAGCTTAGAATGCAGCAGGCAATCTCAGCGACAGACTCAAGTCGCAGCCGCTGTCGTCGCCGCTGCGCGACGGCGTGGCGACATCGGCGGGCGGCAGAGCGAACGCGTCGAGGGAGGCGCTGCTGCTACTGCTGGCAAAAGAATCGGCGCGCTTCAGTGTGGTAACTGGCGAAGCTACCTCCCACACCATTTCGCCCATCGCGGCCGCATCCTCGCGAATGAAGAAATGGAAGGGGCTTTGCGCAAGCGGCACAGCGCGGAATGTCTCCTCCCCCCCGCGCATGTCAGACGTCGCCACCGCCTCCATGCAAACTTCCCCTTGCCCCTCTTGCGCGCACTCCGCGGAACCCGCGCGGGCGAAGAATTCCGCTGTGGGCCACTGCGACTGTGGGAACGGCACGGGAGCGGCAGCGGCGGCTGCAGCGATGCGATCGGTGCTGTCGAAACTGCTGGCGCGGGTGGTCGCGGGGCTCGCTGCGACGGGCAGTTGAAAATCTTGCTCGAACACGTGGCAGGACTGGAAGGGATTCGGGGCAGCAGTCCACGGCACCGCGGCAGGTGCGGGCCAAGGGCGGGTTTCCTTGACGTGCGGAGCCCACTCCTTCGGGACGGATTTGATCGCTGCTGCCTGCTTCAGAGAGTCAGCCCAACCCCACTGCTTGGCGGCCATGGCTTTGATAGATAACTTTAAAATTTATGGATTCTACGATAAGAAATCGGTCAGGAAACTGAAGGTAGTAGAGAACTGGTCTGCTGCGTACTAATCGGCGACGCTGATATATAACTCAAGGTGTTCGCGACGAAGGGCGGCTAAGCTGGTTCCGATCTGCTTGTATTTGCGAGCTGCTGGTCAGTGGAACGCGTTATCAGGTGAAGGTGTCTCGCACGGAAGAGTAAATGCTTTTGCGGGTTTCGTGATCAGCGGCGGTGTTAGTGCTGCTGGTGCTCAATGGGTTTCAAATGTGCGTTTAGGGTTCAGATATGTACTCCTTCCTGTGCAAGGCAAGCTATGTGGTCGGGCACTTGCACTTGCGACTGCATGGCATTTCCTCCTGGCTGGGGCCTAGGGAGCACACCACCACCCCATTGACCCACCAACCAGGAGATCCATACATCCCATCCCATGGTCTTCGCCAGTCTGTCGTCCTGGTGCCAGGTGCCTCCTGGTCGTGTGTCACACTCCCCTCCGATCTCCCATGCACCCCATGGCGACTCGTGCACCACTGCGCCTCGGCAAAGCTTTCTTCGCAACAGTCCACACCTTTCGCCAATCTTTTCGCCGCCAAACCAGGCGGTCCGAGACAACATCGCAACCTGCGTTGCATGTGGGAACCCGAGACGCGCGTACGGAGGGGTAACCTGCTTTGGCCCTGATTGGTTGGATGCCAGGTCATATTTATTTCCTATCAGGCTTCTCCTCGGGCCCCCATACAGCCTTGCTACACACTCTCAGGCTCCAATCAGCGGCAGCTGGTTCGCGTTCCGCCATCTGTACGCAGATTGCTGGAGCGAGTTGACGCATGTTGCGCCAGGATTCCTCAGTGCGGGGCGAGAATTTTGTCGTTTGTTCAGGGGAAAGAGTTCCCACTCGCTCCCATTTCCCACCTGAAGCCAGGTGCGGCGTTGACGACGGGTTCGGCGACATGTTTCGCGAAAGTACCGTCAATGTTGAAGCCCCGTAACCAGGGGTCCCTTCAATCAGAGACTTGGTCAATGGTTTTTATTCGGAATATCCCAGCAGAAACTGGTCGTCAAGCCTGACGACCCACTGACGACTTGACCACATGCTGCCCCGGGCAGGAAAAAACTAAAACCCTATCGGATGGCATGCCATCCGAGGGAGGCATCAACCCTAAATCCATGCCTCCCTGTGTTTAGGGTTGATGCCTCCCTGACCGGATGCATGCCCGAATGGGTTTTATTTGTTTTGCCCGCGGGCAGCGAGCTCCCCAGGCGGACTCGCTTGTCCGCTGAGATATATTCGGCGTTTCGCACTGCAGCTCGCCAGAAATACATTTTGTGTCCACTCTGCCAGGTTTTCGACAGCCCGATTGATTCCTGCCCAAGCCACACTCCATTTCTCCAGCAATGCACCGTTCCAGGTGAATCGAAACCATGGCTCCACTGACATCTGCTCCAGCAGAGAGCTTCGCTAACCTGATAAGCGTTGTTCTGTGACCAATCAAATATGGCAAGATCGTATGTCCTTGATCTGCTCTGCTCTACACATACTTGGATCAGCACTGCCATACACATAATAAACTTCTACATCCTGCAATCATATTTGCTTCTGGTGCACCTTTCAGCTTTTTGGTATAGTTGATAAGGAGGCGTTTGAAACACCGGCTTTAGCAAGCTTGTCTAGGAACCAAAACATAGTATGGTAATTGGTAATACCGTACATGGGCCTGTAGTAGGCCTGTTTGTCGCGAAATAGCACATGGGCTCGATACATGATACGACTTATTGATCATTATGTCTTAGAGCTCTAATGTCAAATAGCTCCTGTGAGCTTGGTAAGGATGGCGAGCACCGCCACGCCAATCATGATATACAGGAAATAGTTGGTCTGCAGCGGGCGGTCGGGACTGCCGCCCAAGCCGATGTATTCGTCTCGTAGCTTCTTCTTCATGGCACTCGACATCTCCGTCTGGGTCTGGACGGGTGCAAAGGGGTGGGAGGGAGTGCGAGGAGGTGTAAGGTTTGTGCAGTGCAAGTTCAGTGAAAAGAGGAAAATAAACCTGCACATGCCCTTCCTCCCATGTACACACTCCCCTTCCCCCTCTCCCTCCAGCCCCACTCCCCCCCAAGCCACTCACATTCCCGGACGAGTATTCAGCCGCTACAAACTTCACGGGGCGAGGGCCCTCTGCGTCCAAAGTCACCCCCTGGGGAGGGTCAAACTTGGCTCCCAGCTCGCTCAGTGCCTTGTGCGCCATTCACAATCCCCTTTCTCCCCTCCAAGGTACCCAATCACACTCCCCTCTACCCCTCCCAGCCACTCACATTCCCGGACGAGTATTCAGCCGCTACAAACTTCACGGGGCGAGGGCCCTCTGTGTCCAAAGCCACCCCCTGGGGAGGGTCGAACTTGGCTCCCAGCTCGCTCAGTGCCTTGTGTGCCGCTGCGTATTCTTTGAAGAACGCCGCCTGGTCTGCAGCGTACTTTTCTGCATAGACCTGAGGAAGAGGGGGGAATCAAAGGATGTTACTGGAACAAGCAACTATGAATCGGGTAACTGAGACTGAAATATAGCATTGATAATGAATCAGGCAACAGTCCACGCAGCAACACAAGCACCATCAGATGTAATGCATTTTAAGGCCCGGGAAATTATAAAGAGCAGCATCTTGTGCCGCAGCATATGCACCCTTCAAGCCATGCATGCCACCAGGCACAGCTTAAGCACAGGCCTTCAACCCAAAGCACCTCAAAGCTCAACCACCCACTGTTCCTTGAAGCCCGACCGCCCAGCACACCTTAAAGCCCATCACACATGCGCACCTTAAAGCCCATTACACATGCGCACCTTAAAGCCCATCACACATGCGCACCTTAAAGCCCATCACACATGCGCACCTTAAAGCCCGGGTCCTCGAAGAGAACAGCATCCGTTGGCAACACCAGCAGATCCTCGTCCTGCTTGGCCTTCACGTCCTGATGAGCATCAGGTGATAAGGTGGTGGGGATGAGATGATAAGGTGGTGGGGATGAGATGATAAGGTGGTGGGGATGAGATGATAAGGTGGAGAGCATGATAAGGCAATGAGGTGGGTGGGCCATCAGTGGGGGCAGCACCAGCAGATCCTCGTCCTGCTTGGACTTCACGTCCTGATGAGACATGGGGGTATGGGATGAGACACACGAGGTAGCGTGGTGGCATGAGCATGCAATGGCACATGATGCGAAGCAGGGGGCGTCAGTGGGGGCAGAAACAGCAGGCCCTCGTCCTGCCTTGCCTTCACGTCCTGATGGTTACGGGGGTATGTGATGGTATATACAATGCGGTGATGCGGTGGCGTGCAGTGGCGTTCGGCAGCGTGAGGTGGGGATGGGTTGGGGTTGGGGTAGGGATGGGGTGCCTGAGGTGCCTCCAGGAGCACACTCAGTGATGCAAACGGCTGCAACGGGATGCAGAGCGGTGCAGATCATTGCAGAGCGGTGGAAAACGGTTCCCACGTACCTTGAAGTAGGAGTTGTCGAACTTGAGCCACTGCACAGTCCACGAGGAGCCTCCAGGCCGACCCGGGCCATCTTTCTGCAAGGGATAGAGCACGGAGAGAGAGGAGAGAGAGAGGAGAGAGGGGAATGAGGGGCACGAGGGGAATGACAGGGATGAAGGGCGATGAGACGAAGGGACGGGAGAGACTGGGGAGTGGGAGGGAGGGCATGAGCGTCCAGGCGGACCCGGGCCATCTGTCTGCAAGATGGAGTAAGGCGAGAGAAGAGGGACGAGGGAGAAGCAGGGGGTGAGGGAAAGAGAAGAGGGGGAGAATTGGGGCTGGGAGGGCATGAGGCAGTGTATAGGTTGACCTTTGAGTCGACTCAGAAGTCAATGCATCGTCCACGAGGCGCCCCAGGCCGACCCGGAGCGCAAATTCGATAAACATAAAAATTGGGGGTAGAGAGACGGCTTTTGAGGCGCCTCAACAGCACGGTCCAAGAGGAGCCTCCAGGCCGACTCGGACCGTCCTTCTGCGAACGAGGGAGAAGGGGAAGGAGAGAAACGAAGGACAGGACCTCACTACACCGCACTGCACACCATGAATGTATGAAGAGAGTCTCTACCAGTAGGAAAGTGCACTGTCACATGCCACTGCACTGCATCATGCTTCACACATCAGTGCACCACACAGAACCGTACTGCACCACCCCTGCAACACACCTCACCACAATGCACCACACTGCACTGTTCTGCACCGGTCTGCACCACACCATGGTCTCACCGTGTACTTGGTGGATTCCTTGCCCCAGCCACTGCGATCGGCATAGGCCCTCCCCAGCGTGTGCGCTCCTGACAGGGCCACTATCTCCTGTTGTGTTTCCCACGCACACAGGCAGGGGCACACACAAACAGGTAGGCACACACAAACAGGCAGGCACACACAGGCAGGTAGGCACACACAAACAGGCAGGCACACACAAACAGGCAGGCACACACAGACAGGTAGGAACACACATACATCAGCAATTAAACCGAACAATCCTTCAGGTCACACAAGACAAGAGCAACTGCATCACACAAGTATCGGTATGATCGGCAGTGGCAACAGTAGCAGTGGCAACAGTAGCAGTGGCAACAGTAGCAGTGGCAACAGTAGCAGTGGCAACAGTAGCAGTGGCAACAGTAGCAGTGGCAACAGTAGCAGTGGCAACAGAAGCAGTGGCAACAGAAGCAGTGGCAACAGTAGCAGTGGCAACAGTAGCAGTGGCAACAGTCGCATTGGTAACAGTAGCAGTGGCAACAGTCGCATTGGTAACAGTAGCAGTGGCAACAGTAGCAGTGGCAACAGTAGCAGTGGCAACAGTAGCAGTGGCAACAGTAGCAGTGGCAACAGTAGCAGTGGCAACAGTAGCAGTGGCAACAGTAGCAGTGGCAACAGTAGCAGTGGCAACAGTAGCAGTGGCAACAGTCGCAGTGGTAACAGTAGAAGTTGCAACAGTAGCAGTTGCAACAGTAGCAGTGGCAACAGTAGCAGTGGCAACAGTAGCAGTGGCAACAGTAGCAGTGGCAACAGTAGCAGTGGCAACAGTAGCAGTGGCAACAGAAGCAGTGGCAACAGAAGCAGTGGCAACAGTAGCAGTGGCAACAGTAGCAGTGGCAACAGTCGCATTGGTAACAGTAGCAGTGGCAACAGTCGCATTGGTAACAGTAGCAGTGGCAACAGTAGCAGTGGCAACAGTAGCAGTGGCAACAGTAGCAGTGGCAACAGTAGCAGTGGCAACAGTAGCAGTGGCAACAGTAGCAGTGGCAACAGTAGCAGTGGCAACAGTCAGTGGTAACAGTAGCAGTTGCAACAGTAGCAGTGGCAACAGTAGCAGTGGCAACAGTAGCAGTGGCAACAGTAGCAGTGGCAACAGTAGCAGTGGTAACAGTACCAGTGGCAACAGTAGCAGTGGCAACAGTAGCAGTGGTAACAGTAGCAGTGGTAACAGTAGCAGTGGTAACAGTGTAACCGAGTGAACACACTATTCGCCTCACCTGGTCGTTGAGCCCCATGCGGTAAAACACCTTGCGCAGATGCTCCGCTGGGGAGGGGGGACCCGCATCTGACGGTGAGGAGGACAGGCAGAGGGTCGGGAAAAGGCAGACGATGGGGGAGTTGGGGAGGAGTAGATGGGGGAGGAAGGGGAGGAGGGGGAGGAGGTGGAAGAGAAGGAAAAAAGGCTAACTGCATTGCATCCTGAAAATGTTACTAACTGCATTGCTTTTGTCAACCCCTTATGTCTTTCTATTTTTTTGTGATTAAATACCTCCAAGTTCTGTTCCAATCACCTGACAGGTTCTGTTAAAAGCACCTGGAGGGTTCTGTTGAAATCACCTGGCAGGTTGCCTTCAGGTGTGCAGTCCTCGGGTCCGGTAGAATCCACTCGGCCGTACCTCATGGGGATGACCGGCCCGCCTGCGAACTGGTGTTTAGTGGGATGGGGTTGGGTGAGGTTGGGTTGAATGGGGTGGGGTTGGGTTGGGTTGGGTGGGGTTGGGTTGAATGGCGCACGCATCTCCCCGCGACCCATTCACCGGCATCGCGCACTGCATGGGCTCCCGTGAGCCCTTCTCTGAAGCGTTACACACAGCACAGAAAACAAGTCCCCCAGGCCTGCTCCCACTCACCTCCACGGCTGTAGCGCTGGCGAGTTGGAACAGGTCGGCCCAGCTGACGGCAGGGAAGGCGTCTTTGACCGGCTGTAGCAGCGCGATGGCCCCCGCGAGCCCCTTGTTGGCCCCGTGGTCGATCTCGGGGCGGAAGCGAATGCTGCCGTTGGCGCCGCCCTGCTTCGGCCACTCTCCCACACTCTTGTCGAACGTGCCCGCATCATGCCAGCCCAGGCGAATCTGTTGGGAGAGAATATTGGAGGGAGGGGAGGAGTGAGGATCGGAGTTGTTTTTTCACTCGTTTGATTCCTCTGAATCTAAGCGTCAGTCAAAAAGGAGATTCACCTGACAGATGGGAGCCGTTCTGACAGTCGTACAACCAAATTCGGTAACCGATTCAGTAATAATTTGGTGCTAAGTTTGGTATTCAACTCCGTACTGGATTCGCCACTTCAAACGGTAATTTGAAATGAAAAGGTGACTTGCAACCGTAACTTGATTCCGCAACTTGAAACGGTAACTGAAAACGGCAACGTACGAGAATAGGGTTGCACGACTTGCTCGTGATGATGTCCTTAATCGCCTCGCGCGCTCCGCGCAGCTGCGCCACGTCAGCAGACGTGAACACGTGGCCGGGGCGCACGGAGGTTGCTCGCGGCTTGCGGCCCGTTGCTGCCCGCAGCGCTTGTCTCTGTAATGGCGCCACGTTGACGCGTAAAAAAGAAAAGGGAAGAGGAGGGGGAAGGGGGGAGGGGGAAAGGGGAAGGGGGAATAAGGGAAGGTGGGGACGGAGCGGGAAGAGCGATGGAAAGGGGAAAGAAGGGAGGAGAATTCTGTAGAAAACAAACGGAGAGAATTTGATGCATAAGAAAAGTGAAGGATTAGGAGGGAGGTTTCAGGATCCTGGAGAAATCTTTCAAGAAATGTCACTTTAATATTTATCGGATATCTTCGACAGCATTTTCATACACGTACGTTAACGGGCCGCGATGGGAGAAAGTCGCTCGTAAGGGCGGCGGAGGCGCGTCTGGAGACACCAGCAGAGGATGCGATGAGGGAACACGTGGCGGGCTGCCCGCATCCCGCGGCGGAAGGCCCCGCTAGACGCGCGGAGGCAGCGGAAGGAGCGGCGAGGGTTGCGGACGTCATGGCGGAAGAAAATATTCGCGAAGAAGCGCGAATCGGAGGGAAAGAAAGTTGCGCTCCGCACCACAAGCTAGCTGGGTTGAATGCGCTGAGCTTGGTTGTGCTTTGTGTATTTGCAGATGCGATGGGGTGCAATTTATGCTCGTGCTAGCTGTGAATCTCATCCAGCCGTTCTTGATCTCGAAGAAACGCTCTTCCCCGCAATAAAAGTTACTCAACCGCCTCGCAGAGGGAACGCAGAGTTGGCTGGTTGGTTCGGCAATTTCGAGGTTTGGCTGGGTGGTGAGGGGAGATCGATGTTGGCGTGGCAAATGCGACCTCTGACGTGGAGAACGACACGATTCACAACGACAGTGCGCCACGATGCTTCCGAAATCTTTGAGGAGGGCGAAAGGGGGATCTCTATAAGCAGTACACTGCGCTAACTCAATGAGTAAATAATATTCTCTCAAATACAATAATAATATCCAAAGACGCCACAGCAACTATGTGCAAGCTTTGCTTGTTTTTTGTCATCTTAGTAACGCCCATGATCAAGCACAACTTTGATCAATCCATCCAGCCAACAGCACGAGTATAACTTATATTCGCATCTTTCAGCTCTGAATGCTGTGTTGATAGTGGCACCCTCCCTTCCAACTCCAACCCTTGTCAGTGTGTTGTTGCCCTCTTACTCATCCTCTTCATCCCCCTCTTCCTCCTCTCCATCCTCTGACTCATTCTCCTCGTCTTCCTCATCCTCCTCCCCCTCACTCTCCTCTTCTTCCTCAAACTCCACCACACTACCACCTCCATCATCACTCTCCTCTTCCTTCTCCTCCTGACTCTCCACACTGCCCTCTTCCAACCTCTCACTCACTCCCCTCACACCTGATGCCGAACCTGGCCTCTGCCTGACTCGGGCACTAGAAAGACCTGAGCCTCTAACTGCTCCTCCAGGTGCCCCTCCAGGTGCCCTACCAGGTGCCCATGAAGGGGCAGCATCAAAAGCAGTGCCACGTGCACCACTGAACCCACTTCCCGTCCAAATCGCCCCGCTCCCACACGACATGGACATGCCGGGCATGTCCTGCCACTCCCCATCCCTCCCCCCTCCCCCATCCCTCCCCCCTCTGCTCCTGCGCTCTCTCCCTCCGCCCCCTCCTGCCCCTGCCCACCTGGACACCATCGGCCGCCCCAAACCTGAACCCATGCCCGACACAAGTCCCTGATCACCAGAGCCTAGCTCCGCCCCAAGTCCTTCCTTCCAGGGGGGAAGTGGCGCCAACTCGTCCCGATTGTCATCTCCTCTGTCATCCCGTCTGTCATCCATCCTCGTCGTTGTACTCACCACCTCCGTCCCGCCCTCCTCCTCGTGCTCGTCCAGTGAGCGCATGGCCGGGCGGCGTTGATTGGAGGTACTGTGCCGCCTCAGGAGCGACGTGTCAGGTGCAGTATACCTCCCTGCCAGCCCTGTGCCTCTCAGCCCGCCCTCTGCTTGGAATCCCCCTCCACCTCCTCCTCCTCCTCCTCTTCCAGCCCCTCCTCTCTCTGTCCCACCCCCTGCTGCTCTGGCATCATCTTCATCTGACCACTCCTCCCCATCGGAATCTCCTGCGTTGCTTCCACCATTACCAATACCACCACAACTCACCCCACTGCTTCTTCTCCTTTCATCTCCACCATACCCTCCCACTCCCCCTGCCTCCCTTCCATGCAGCCCCGCACCCCCCCTTTCCTGGAAGGACCCTGTGCTCGCCCATCTGCCATTGTATCCCCTCTTATGGTACTTGTCATGTCCTCCGAGCCTCCCCCCATACCTCTCCCCCAGCATCTCCCCGAACCTCTCCCTGAGCCTCTCCCCATGCTCCTCCACACAGTCCTCCCCCCACTCCTCCTGCTCCTCCAAGTCCCTCAGCCTCTCCCCACCAAACCTAGCGCTCTCCCCGAGCCTCTCCCCGAACCTGTTGCGGCTGCCTCGGCGGCGCAGGCTCCGGTCCGGAGCTGTCTGGGGGCGTTCATCTTGTCTGTCATACTCCCACTGTGAGTGAATACCCACTTGCTCCTCTGAAGCTGGACCAGCAGCTGGATACCCACCGTCCCCTTCCCAGGGAAGTACCCCTGAATTTTGCTGAGGGTAATTACCCGCGTTGCGTGAATGCACGGGTAAAACCGGCCGGTTGTCGACGGAAGAAGGGTGGTCGGGGGAGTCCCAGGGATCGGGGACGAGGTCTCTAGGGAGAGGCGACTTCTTGGCATGTGGCAGGGCGTGCAGGCGATCGAAGCGCGGGCTGTTTGCTGCTATGTGCGGGCTGCTGCTTGCTGCTACGTGCGGGCTTAGCACGTTGGGTAGCAAACGTGGGCTCTGAAGGTGACTCCAGCGCCCACTGCTGCTCCTGCCTGCACCAGAAGCAGAAGCAGGGCCAGGGGTCAGGCAAGAGAGTGAGTCGGAGTCAGGTTCTGCCAGGTGGATTCTCAGGTGGGGACCTGGGTGGCGGGCAGGCAGGCCACGTGTGGCAGCAGGAGAGGAGGAGTGAGGAGCAGTGCTGGGTCGGGATGAGAGTGAAGGAGGGATGGCCCGGACGGGGTCTTCTGGGTTAAATGCAGCAGGAGAAGGAGGGGAAGGAGGGGAATGCGGGGACGGAGGGTTTGGAGGGGTGGAAGTAGAGAAACGGCTGTGGGGGGAAACGGGGAGGAGAGAGGGCGCAGCAGCAGGTGGGCGGGAGGGAGGGGAGGGGCGGCGAGGGGAGGGCAGGGGGAAGCGGGGGGACCTGAGGGGGAAGTGGTTGGTGTGGTGGGGGAGGGCATGGGGGGAGCGGAGAGATGATGGGGGAAAAGGTTGGCTCATGGCAAATGCGGGCGGCAGAGCAGAGCTGTTCCAGCTGTCATGGGTTGAAGCAGCGACAGCGACAGAGGGGCGGGAGGCAAATGGGTTGGGGGGGTTGAAAGGCTGGCTCATGGCAAATGCGGATGGTAAAGCAGCTGTGTTCCAGCTGTCATGGGTTGAAGCAGCGACAGAGACAGAGGGAGAAGCAGAGGGGCGGGAGGCGGAAGGGCGGGATGCGAAGGCGTTGGGGGGGTTGAAAGGTTGGCTCATGGCAAAGGCGGGCGGCAGAGCAGAGCTGTTCCAACTGTCATGGGTTGAAGCAGCGGCAGAGGCAGAGGCAGAGGGGCGGGAGGCGAAGGGGTTGGGGGGGTTTCGGTGATGGGGAGCAGAGGCTTGGGAGGCGGAGCGGGCTGAGAGGGATGGACGGGAGGGCGTGGGACGCGCGTGCTTGTTCCGATAGTGCAGAGCAGACGCGTGGTAAGCAGAGGCGGAATGAGTGGAAGCAGGGACGGCGGAGTGAGGGAGCGGGGCTGCATTCCACGAATCATGCGCTCTTGCAGCGGAGGACGATGAGGACGAGGAGGCAGAGGAGGAAGAGGAGGAAGAGGAGGAAGAGGAGGAAGAGGAGGAAGAGGAGGAAGAGGAGGCAGGGGAGGGCCGCGCAGGGCCTCTGCCTCGACCTCTACCTCGGCTCAACAGGTTCTGACCAGTGAAAGCACCTGGAGGCCTGACAGCACTGAATGCACCTCCACCAGAAGCATTTTGGTCACTCAAATCGTCCATTGTCATGAGAACAAGCCTGCCTTCTTGCCCCTCCTCGCCCTCCTCCTCTCCCTCCTGCGCCCTCTCCTCTCCGTCCCCGTCCCCTTCCTCGTCTTCCTCTTCTTCCTCCTCCTCCTCAGCCACCCACACATCTGCTCGCCCCTGCACACCGGTATCAACCACATCACAATATCCTTCCACACCCAATCCTCTCCTGCCACACCTCACACTCCCTCTCTCCTCATCTTCCTGTTCTTCCCACTCTTGTTGTAGGTGCTGCTGTGACTGCTGGTTCTCGCACTGCTGCTGCCACGGCTGCTGCTGCTCCTGGTATGATACTGAGTCACCCCACGGCAGTTGAGCCTGCTCTATTTCCACCTGCTCCCAGCCTACCTGCCTCTGATCCACCTCCCCCACATGCTGCCAGCTCTCGGCAGTGAACGGTCGGTGCGGCATCTCCAAGGAAGCAGACGACCGATGCCGGCCAAGCCGACTCCTCTGGCCCTTCTCACTCCTGCCACCATCCCCACTGCTGCTGTTTCTTGGAAAATTCTCCAGACCAGCATTCCCACAATCAACACCAATCCTATCCACATCACCACCACCACCACCACCAGCACCAATCATATCACCATCAGCAATCTTGCCACCCCAAACCCCATCCCCTAAACTCACACCTCCCCTGCCTACCGCCCCTGAAAACACCGCTACAGAAGCACTCCTGCCATGCTGTGCCGCCCGCAGGCCGCACTTCGCAGCACTGTTCATGAAGGCTGGGCGGCGCGCTCCCAGCTCGTTGAGGAAATCGCGGGCTTCTGACGCCGCCCGGCGGTGGCGGGAGTTGGAAGATAGCGGGCTCTGGGCTGAGGCCGGGCGGCGAAGAGAGGATAGGTGGAGAGAACTGGGGGCAGCTGCTGCTGCTGCTGCTGCTGTTGGTGGTGGTGTTGCTGATGCTGATACCCCTGTTTCTGTCCCTGCTTCACGGCCTGTCCCGTTTCCTGCGTTGCATGTTGCTGCTGTCGCTGTGTCCTTTGGTGCTGATTCACCAGCTGCATTTCCTTTGTCACTTATCTCTAAACTAGTGGTTTCACCTGACTCGCCACCTGAGATAGGAGCACCTTCCACAAGAGAACCTGAAACAGGAGAAGCTGCCACAGACACACCTGAGCCAGCGAACGAGGAACCTGCAGTGGCAGCACCTGAAGTGGCACCTGAGGCAGCAACAGCACCTGAAGTGGCACCTGAGGCAGCAACAGCACCTGAAGTGGCACCTGAGGCAGCAACAGCACCTGAAGTGGCACCTGAGGCAGCAACAGCACCTGAAGAAGCTCCTGCATACACTCTAAGGCCAGCAGCAGGGCTGTCGACCAGAATGTCTGACTCCACTGGTGAGGGGGTCAGATGGAGCGACAGGCGCGCAGCCGTACAGGCTGTAGCACCCAGGGTGGCTGTAGCACCTGGTTCAGCTACAACCGAGCCATTGCTAGCCGATTCTGTGGGCTCTTCAGGAGCGCACTTTTGGTGTGTGCCAGTGGGACTGCTGGTGGCTGTGTCCGAGTGGTGGAGAAGAAGGTGATGCAAGAGATGGGGCAGGGGAGGGACTGACTCCTCTTCCTCCTCTGCACCGCCTGCATCAGCAGCAGAGGAGGCGTGGGGAATGATCCCCCAGGGCCTCCGAGACTGCAGCGACGACAGGGAGGACGAGAGAAACGCTTGCTCTGCCGCTCCCCCTCCCCCTCCTCCTCCCCCTGCTCCTCCTCCTCCTCCTCCTCCTCCTCCTCCTCCTCCTCCTCCTCCTCCTCCTCCTCCTCCTCCTCCTCCTCCTCCTCCTCCTCCTCCTGCTGCTGCTGCTACTGCCGCTCCCCCTGCTCCTCCTCCTCCTCCTCCCCCTGCTGCTGCTGCTGCTGCTGCTGCTGCTGCTGCTTCCCCTCCGCCCCCTCCCGTGAGGGAGGCTACTTCCCGAGATGTGGGAGTTGCGGGAAGAGAATACGCTGTGATGCAAGGGCCAGTATCACCAGTGGCCCCAGCCCTCCCACACCCCACGCGAGAGAGATCTTCTTTCTCCTTATGCTGCTGCTGCTGCTGGGAGAGAGCAGCAACGGGCATTCCCGTGGGCGACAGAGGCAGCAACGATGCCTCGTCCTCCCCACCTCCGTCTTCCCCACGCCCATCCAGCAGTCCCGGTTCCAGCATACAAGGATCAGGCAGCACCTCAACCCGGGGGGGGCTGAACCGCCCCTTGAGAAACTCCTTGAAGCTGCCCTCGCGGGACTTGCCTCTGCCAGAAGAACCCGTTCCTGCTAATGCTCTGCCAAGGGTCTGGGAAGACCCCGAAACTGGCCGCGAGTTCAGAGATGATTGTGAATCTGGAGAGTAACGCTCGTCTCCTGTTAGGGAGGCTTCATTCAGCCCACCTCCTGTACCTTGCCCGCCTCCCTCCCTTGCTCCTTCTGTTCCTCCTTCCCCTCCTCCTTCCCCTCTCCTTGCTCCTGTTCCTCCTTCCCCTCTTCCTTCCCCTCTCCTTGCTCCTGTTTCTCCTCCTTTCCTCCGTCCCCATATGCCCCAGAACTTCCTGCCTGCGCCCTGCCTCTGCGCGTCCTCACTCCCATCCGTCTCTTGGCTAAGCGTCTTACTTACAGAGTTATAGCTTACAGACTTGGTCATCAGCGCATGTATACTACCACCTCCCATGCCTTCCCCCTCCCCCCTCCCCACGCTCCCTCTTCCGCCGTCTCCCCCTTCCCCCAAGTCCGACCCGCCCCCCAGCCCCTCTGCGTCTCCTTGCGCCAGCACACAGTGCTCCGCTATAGAGTGCTCCACTATGGATGGAAAGGTACTCAAAGAGGCGCTTTTCCTGTGCCTGTTGCTGGTTGGGACCAGCTTGGAAGGGCCAAAAGGGGCGAAAGTGCTGCTTCTACCAAACGCGCTGCCACCCCAGCCTGCCTTCTTCCGCTGCCCTTTTTCCCATCCTGATTCTGCGCTTTCTCCCTCTCCTCCTCCTCCTTTTCCTCTCTCTCCACCTGCACCTCCTCCTGCCGTTGGTATTCTTGGCGATCGTAGCACACTGCTACTGCAATCTCCCCCGCTGCTCTCCCCCTCGCACTCCCCGTCCCTCTCTCTTCCACACGCCTCGCTCCCCCTCGTTCCCCCAAAATCAAGCAGGCGAATAGAGTCCGCGGAGCGATGGTGGGGAGAAGATTGGAGCGGGGAGGCGGGGCGGGGCGGGCGCGAGTGCGCGAACGGCGAGGGGAGCGGATGGGCGGCGGGCGAGGGGGGTGGGTAGGCGGAAGGCGAGGGGAGGGGGTGGGCGGAGGGTGAGGGGAGAGGGTGGGAGGAGGGCGAGGGGAGGGCGTGGGCGGACGGCGAGGGGAGAGCGTGGGCGGAATGCGCGGAGAGGCGTCCGGAAGAGGGGGAAGGGGATGAGTCCGCAGCCGCCGAACTGGGCACGGGGCGAGGGGACGCGGAGGAGGAGGAGGGGGAGATAAAGACATGCGCGCGCGGAGGAGGGTTTCCAGCTTGGTGGAAGAGGGGCGGCCTTGGGGAGAAGGGATTGCGCGCGGCCATGAGAGGGGCGAATAAAGGCGACACGAAATCAACAGATAACGATCTCCTGTGCGCTCGCTCCCTTCGTCCCGCTCCTGCCCCTCCCACTATCCCTCCGCCTCCCCCTCCCCTGGTCCCAGGCTGAATTCTCACCCGCCGGCCCCCACCCCCGCCTTCCCCCACAACCCCTCCGCCGATTCCCGCCGTTCCCCCTCCATCATCACTCACAAGTAAATCATCCTCTCCTCCCCCGCTCCCGCTTCCGCTCCCCAGCCCGCCCCTGCCCCCCCCCATGCTCGCTTTTAGACTAGACGACGTACGGAACCCTAACGCGCCTAGTCCCGCCCACCTCAGCGGACTGAATGGCATCCGCGGACTATTCGCGCAACTATTCGTCGCGCTTCCCGCCGCGCTCCCCGCGCCCCTGCTCGAGTGCGGGCTTCCGCACGGGCTGAATCCGCTTCCGCCCGCGTCAGTGCGCGCGGGAATTGGCGGAAGAAACTTGGGGGAAAACGACTGGAGGCGGGAGGACCTTCCGCCACCGCCCCCCCCGGGCAAGGGGCTGGCTTGGGGAGTGTCGTCGAGGCTTGTGGAAGCGGGAATGGCGAGCGGCGGAAGGGCGTTGGCGGAGAAGGATACGCGGTCGGAAATTGCGGAGTGACACGTGTCACCGTGTGAGCGGTCGAAACTGTCTGATCGGATAGGGCTCAATGCTCGTCCTCTGCTGCGGGTTCTCCTCCAACTCCCAGTGGCACCAGCAGCGCCGCTTCCTTCTGGGTTTCGTCCGGTTCGTCCACTCATTCCCCTCAGTGCATCGTCCCCTGACGACAATCCCCCAGTGTCACTAAGACCTGCTCCTGACGCACCTGCACCCACTGTTCCTCCCTCCCCCTCCCCCTCACCGCCTCCTCCGCTCACCGAAAACGCCCTGGGCCCGAACCTGAACCGGCTCGGGCTTTTCAGGTCCAAACCTGAGGCTTGGCCGAGGAACCAGAAAGGCTCGGATAAGCTACGGCTGCGAGAATGGCTGCCTTTCGCGCGTGTGCTCTTAGCGAATAACGAGGACGGCTGTAGGCCGTCCGGCGGCGCCAGCAAGCGCGGGCTGGGGGACGCCGACGACGCTGACGTGGCAGCCGCAGGACCGGCGAGAGAGCCTGCTGCTGCCACGTCAGAGGATAAAAGGCGCGGGCTGGCGGCACTAGAGCCTACGTCCGACGCGTGCTGAGTCCCTAGTGGGGAACTGACGACAGACGTGGAGGCTTGGGAGGAGAAGGAGAAGGGAGAGAGCGAGAGAAACGCCATTGATGACCGCGACCGACCGTGCCTGGACGCGCGCTTCGGAGTTGGCGGCATTCCCAAGGGAACGCCCCCTCCCGCTGCTGCTCCTGCACCGGCGTCTCTGCTGGTTCTGTTGGTGCTCGCAATGCTGCCACCGCAGCTCGGGCCCGCTTCTCGCGGGCTCACTCCCACTTCTCGTCTTCTTCTTCCTCGACCAAGAAGGTTCGCAGCAGCTTCGATTGTCGATACCGACCTCTCTCCCGAAACCTCGGCCGCCGCCGCCGCCGCCGTTTTCTCCTGTCGCTGCTCTTTATCCACCGCGGCGATCGCCAGTGCCGCTGCCGCCGCAACGGTCACATGCGGCGCGGAACGACTGCCCTGAGCCGTTCGATCGAGCGACGGTCCCCGCGACCCGAGCCCAGGCCGTAGATCTACCCCTAATGATCCCGAAAGAAGCCCTGGAAACGCGGTACTAAGTGGCGCAGCAGTGGCGTCAGCAGTGGCGTCAGAAGTGTCGTCAGCAGTGTCGTCAGCAGTGTCGTCAGCAGTGGTAGCAGCAGCATTGACAGCAGCAGACGGAGCAAGCCGGGAAGGACCTTCCTTTGCATCTACGTTAATGCTTCCGGAGCGCCGTCCCGGTGATTCGCCTTCGTCGGGCGAATCCCAAGATTCGGCGAGCAGGCTTTGCCCGAAAACCGGCAACGCGGCGACAGACGAAGGGCCTTCGCCGCCCGAGACTGCGAGTCTGGCAGTCATGGCGAATGTGCAAATCGTGGGGCCCATCTTTGGCGGGCCTGCTACGTGTGGGTAGATTCTCGAGCCGCGGTAGTAGCTACCCATGTCATGATCATCGTCCATCCGATAAGTTAGTAGGCGCTCCGCTGGTAGGTATCGCTTTGCGAAGCAATTATAAATAGTAGGAACGGAGAGTCGTGGTGTCTCAACTCAACCCAACCGCATGTTCGAGCTAAGAGGAACAACAAGGCATGTCGTCGTCTCGTCGTCAATGCACTGCTGAGGTTGACGGGTCACACTACCTAGCCGATGACTGACGCGTGTCATGGAAATTGGTCTCATCCCATGGATAGCATCCGTCTGACTGCCATGAATGCGCAACTGGTGTAACTAGGAAAAGGAACAAACAGTCAGGTCAGGAGGAGGGACGGGGCCGGGGTGGGGACGGGACAGGACAGGATGGGTCATGGTGGGACGAAAGGAACATGGGAACCCTTGAATTTGGTTTCTTGGGAACGGAATGGCATGCTCGAGGTGGGGGTGGTGCTGGTTGGATTGGTTTGGTTGAGGTCTGCGGAGGAATCAATGGGCAGCCAACTTCCATGGTGAATCGAGGCGAAGCGAGCGAGCGAACCTCGAGGACAAGGTATGATTGGCGGTGAGGCAGGACAATCATAATACCTATTCTATTCCTGCCCAGTTTCGGTTCTTTTTTCATAATAAAATATACTCTGTGGAGGCAACATTCTTGTTAGTGAAATCCAGCAAATGACACTTAGCCTGTTCTAAGCAGAATCATTGGAGTACTACACTAATGAACCAAGCTTTCAGGACGATGATACTCATGAATGAACGACCGTTTTTTCTCACTGCAGTCATTTGACAAGCACAACGTCAACCCAACTTCAGCATCAACGTCCTCCGAAACTGCGGGCATAGCAGTAGGACAGCGAAAGTGGACAAATTGGCCCACTGGAGTAGCAATGACTCCTGCGAGTGGTTACCTCAGGTGCAACACAGCAAAAATCTGGTGCAGCCACAAAGCTGAGTGGGCGAATTGGATTTGTACATACTGGCCGCCATAACATTTTGTTACGGGTGCAATGAATCTAGGTAGCGAGGATTGCACTAGAGTGTTCAATGAGTACAAAATATGAGCGTGTAAGGAAAAATCCCTTTCCTTACTTCGCGTCCCTGCTCAGCGCGTACAACACTGACAGCACCCCACAACATTCCGTTACCACTCGCGACATTCGCCTCGACACCATTCCCGCCACTGTTCACGAGGCGACCCAACCTCACGGTTCGGCTGGTAACCCGCGCTCCGGACCTCCGCCTCGACAGTTCCCCAAACCTCGGCACTAGGCCCGTCGCGCACTCCATTTTCCCACGTTACCGTTACCACCGTAGTTCGCTATATATTCTTCGCTCAATCATTTCGCTCGTTGTATCTGGTCTCGATAGTGCAATCCTCGCTCGCTCACTCACTTGCACTCGTAACACTTGGTTATCAGTGTCGAAAGTAAAGGGAAAAAGTTGGTGCACTATCGAGAAGGTTGGGTACAAGTAACAAAAAACTATACCCTACATTAGCTACCCCACTAAAGTCTACATTCTATTATGACATAGGCATATAATTTGACACACCCCCATAGGCAAAGTGGGGGAGAGTAAGGGGTCACAAGACCAGTCAAGAGAAGCAAAGCAAGCTCAGGGGGGATCACAACGTCACCACACACACTGAGCACAAGCAAAGAGCCACAAGGCCAGTTCACATGCAGAGGTATATATGCAACAACAATAGTACATTGATATCTACTTAGCAGAGTAAGCATGTAGGAATATATATAGATCACAGTATAAGCAAAGTCTACAGCAAGTGAGGAAAAGTGGGCACAAGGCCTAACAAAGTGCAGAAACGCTGATGATCACCAGACGGAAGTGCCTTGGTGAATATATCAGCAGTGTTGGCCCGAGTGGCCACGTGTGCAAGACGAAGCTGACCACGCTGCTGCAACTCTCGAGCCAAGAAGTAACGCAGAGCGATGTGCTTCGTTCTGTGCTCCAGTCTGTGCTCCTGACACAAGGCAATGGCGGCCTTGTTGTCGACGTACAGCACTGGAGGAGAACGAGGCCGCTCTCCCAAGTCGGTCAGCAGGTAGGTGAGCCAGCGTAACTCCTGTGCAGCCATGGCTGTGGCGTAGATCTCAGCCTCACAACTGGAGCTGAGAACTGAAGTCGAGCGTGTAGAACGCCAAGAAACTGAACCAGAGCCAAGGCTGAGGTGTAACCCTGTGACGACCGCTGCGTAGCCTGGTCGTCAACCCAAGGGGCGTCCGAGTGACCAGTGAGGACAACGTCACCCCGTCCTCCAAGCACGAGCCCCATGCTCGATGTACTGCACAAGTAGCGCAGTGCCCTCTTAGCAGCATCCATGTGCACCTTTCGGTGCCGACCAGGAGCCACGTAGCGAGCCAGAAGGCCAAGAGGGTACGCGAGGTCAGGACGAGTGCAGGTCATCAGGTACATGAGGCAGCCAACTAGCTATGGGTAAGGACCACTTGGCTCTACGGACTCGTCCGAAGGTGGAGCTGAGAGCGAGTGACCTGTAGCCAGAGGAGTGGCCTGTGCCGAGGACCAGGTGAAGCCGAAGCGCTGAAGGACCTGCTGCACCATGTGTGACTGAGTCAGGGTGATGGTGCAGCGTGCTCTGTCCCGGGTGATCTGCAAGCCAAGGTAACTGCGCAGCTCACCCAGGTCTGTGCACATGTGTCTCTTCTGCAGCTCCGACTTCACCAGGGCGAGAGCCTCAGTGTCAGCAGTGGCAAAGACCAAGTCGTCGACGTACACGAGGATGTAGAACGGCGGCAGCGAAGTGTCGGTGCGCAGAAACAGCGACGGGTCAGCAGTCGACGGAGCAAACCCAAGAGCCGCAAGTGTCGTCCTCAGTGTGTCGTGCCACTCACGTGGCGCCTGGCGGAGACCGTAGACCGGCCGCCGGAGGCTCCACTGGGTACCAGGAGGGAACGACCCAGTGAAGCCAGGCGGGCGGCGCAGCCAGATCTCCTCATGCAGGCTGCCCTGCAAGAAAGCTGTGCTGAAGTCAAGAGAGTGAAGCTCGTAGTCACGCTGAGTGGCAACGTGCAGCAGCACCCGAAGAGTGGTCATCTTCGGGGTGGGGGAGAAGGTCTGGAAAAAGTCAACTCCCTCTCGCTGACTGAAACCTCGAGCAACGTAACGAGCCTTGAAGACAGGCGGAGAACCTGGCGGCCGCTTCACCCTGAAAATCCACATGCCACTGACGATGTTCGCCCCAGGAGGGGGAACCTCGTCGACGTACGTGCCTGTGGACTTCCAGGATGCCATCTCTGCGTCCATGGCTGTCTGCCACTGAGAGGAGTACTCACCCACGATCGCCTCAGCGTAAGAGCGCGGGGTCGGGATGTCTGTGTGAGAATAATAGGAATGGATGAACTAGAAAGCAGTTGGGTACAAGTAGCAAACCTAAAAGTGTTGTACCCTCTAAGAACTACCCCACTACAACCTAAACAGACTATAGCAGATATAAGTTTGACACACCCCCATAGGCAAAGTGGGGGAGAACAAGAGGTCACAAGACCAGTCAAGAAAGACAAAGCAAGCTCAGGGTGGATCACAAAGTCACCACGCAGTCTGAGCACAAGCAAATGGCCACAAGGCCAGTTCATATGCAGAGTCATATAAAGGAAAATAAACAATAAACAGAACAAAACCTAGCAAGAGTAAGCATGCAGGTATATGTATAAAGAGTACAGTACAGGCAGAGTCAGGCAGAAAGCAAGTGAGGCACAGTAGGTACAAGGCCTAACACAGTGCAGAAACGCTGATGATCACAAGGCTGAAGTGCCTTGGTGAAAACATCAGCAGTATTGGCCTGAGAGGCCACGTAAGCGAGACGAAGCTGGCCACGCTGCTGCAACTCTCGAGCAAGGAAGTAGCGCAGAGAAATGTGCTTCGTTCTGTGCTCCAGTCTGTACTCCTGACACAAGGCCAGCATGGCCTTGTTGTCGACGTACAGAACTGGAGGAGAACGAGGCGCCTCTCCTAAGTCGGTCAGCAGGTAGGTAAGCCAGCGTAGCTCCTGTGCAGCCATGGCCCCAGCGTAGATCTCAGCCTCACAACTGGAGCTGAGAACAGAAGAAGAGCGGGTAGACCGCCAAGAGACAGAACCGGAGCCAAGACTGAAGGTGTAACCCTGTGACGACCGCTGCGTAGCCAAGTCGTCAACCCAGGAGGCGTCAGCGTAACCAGTGAGGACAACTCGAGCCCGTCCTCCAAGCACGAGCCCCATGCCCGATGTA